AGATTTAGACGTGATAATCTACTATCTAATAGCCTAACCCACTTATTGCGAAGGCTAATCTGGGGTTAAGGGTAAGGGTTATTAAGCATACACCCATAGATGGACCAAGTTACGTGGTGAAATTCCCTATTTGGAGGATCAATCAGTTAGGTTATACATCAACTTTGCATGTTAACACAAGGATAGGGTTAAAATTATTAGAATTACTGCGTTAAGAACTTGTGGGGAACACATGTACCCTAGTTTTCATCTCATATTGATATTTCAAACTGAAAACTGTGATTCCTTGTTACTTGTTACTACAAATCAATCAACTGTGATTTTATTTAAAAATCCCCCCTTTTTACGGAAGTAATTTGACTAAAAGTAGATATTGTAAGTTAGTCTAAGTCTAGACCATTTCCTCGTGGGATCGACCCTAACCTAAAAGTTAGGTTCAGTATTTGACAACGACCGGTTATACTTCTTTAGGGAGGTGTAATTTGGGCATAATCAATAAGTCCAATGAAATGTAGATGAAAAATATTATTCGTTAGCAGATAACAAAGAACAATTTATTTAAAGTTAAGAAAAAAAAGAAGTAAAATAATTTCACTTTCTAAAGGAAAGTTGCATACTTGAGCTAGTTTGGACTATATTATCATGCCGCAAAGAAAAATGTATATTCTTTATTTCAAAGAGTGCCGAAGAGAGGAGAAATTGGAAAGATAATGAAGAAGGTTGAATAGCGGGAGGGGAGAGAGAGAGAGAGTAGGAAATACAGAAAATTAATAAATCATTGATATTTACTGTGGTTGTATTGTTTAAATCATGACTTCTCATTTGTTATAATATGTGACTCTCAACTCACTATCATTTTTTTATTATCACAAGCATTTTTTGATTAAAATATGAATAAATCCAAAAATCTGAGAGAACAAACAAATAACAATACTGAAATAGGGGAGTGCCATATCACCAGCCTAAGATTCTCTCTCTCTGTATATATATCATCATATATATATATATATATATATATATATAAAAGAGAATCCTAGGCCCGCCTACGTGGTGTCACCACAAACCACAATTCCCTTTTAATTTATTTATTTCCAAAACTAGCCTTCCCCTTTCATGAAACGTTGTGACTTTTATGAAAAGTTGTGACTTTTATGAAAAGTTGTGACTTTTATTAAAAGTTGCGACTTTAATGAAAAGTTGCAATTTTTATGAAAAATTGTGACTTTTATGAAGAGTTGTGACTTTTATGAAGAGATTGTGACCTTTCCGAAGGGTTGTAACTTTTCCAAAGAGTTGTGGCCTTTTCGATAAAGCACAATAAACATTTGTCGATACTACCCTTTATTGTCTATAAATAGAGGAATTTCCTCTCATTTTAAAACAACAAAAATTATGAACTTCTTCTTCTTCTGCACAAATAAATATTCGTGTACTTTGTTCTTGTTGAGTGGCTTACCATACTATTGTATTTGTATCAATACACTAGTGAATATAATCGTTCTATCCTGAGAGGATCTATTCCTTTAAACCTCAGATACTAGAGGGGAATAATTTTCTTAAGGGGACACTGTGCATTCGGTGGGCCCAATTTTTTCCTTTTTGTTTCATTCTATTGTTACAGATCCTGATATGTTTTTTAACAATCATTAGTTTATGCTTATGTTATTAATTGTTGTTTTTGAGTACATGTTTTAAACTTTGTTGTTTATGTTTCTGCAAAGTTATTGTTGCAAGTACTTGTTAATATAGATTAAATAACACACGTTAATAGAGTATTCAACAAGTTTTCTCTACTGAAATTGTTGAAGGTACAATAAAAAATGCCTTAAAGATCTATACTACCATATGTTCAAGAAAAAATTCAAATTTCGTATGCCATTGTAAGGACATAAAGACCTTAAAAACTCTATTGCACCTTGATGTACAAAATGAACCAGGAAAATAAGGCAAGAATTAAAAAACTTTTGACATGGGTTTAACGATGTGTCGGACGACCTATAGAGGAATATGACTAGACTGGAACCTTTTTAATCCCAAAGACATAGATAACTACACAATAAATTAATTGCTCATATTCAATATGAAACATGGACATGTTTCCAAGTTTATTGCAAGTTGTAAATACTTTTCTTGAAGTAATAGATGTGTTTCTCGACACTGCGATTGGAATATAAGTGTATTTTCAAATTGAACTTCATCACTCTGGTATGTTGACTTTTTAAAAAAACACCCAAACAAACTAAATAGTTTTGTGTAATATTTTTCCCTTTCAAGTATATACTAAGTTGAATTGTTGTCCAATATGATACATTCTCCCTTTAATTTTTAATTTTAATAATTACTTATGATACATTTAAATGGGGATCTTTAAAATGACATATGTAAAGCAAAAGGTATGGCTGGACTTTCTACACGTTAGAATTAGAATATTTATTCACTTTTTTCAGTCTTTTAAAATTAATTTGTCCCTTCACCAACGAGTATTTATTTATTAGAAAATTTAATATCTCCGATTGATGTTCATTTGATTCCCCAAAAATATCAAATAGTAATACTTGCCAGAAGCAGAAGGATAAATTATAAAATCAAATTATAGATGATTGATTGAAGGATAAATGATAAGATGTTATAATTATCATCTTCCTTTACTATATTAATGTTTGTTACTACGTAATCTTGTATGTAAGATAATATAGTGTTTTAGTTTTAATGAGTGATAGATTTTAAGTATTTCTTTTATAAGTTTCCTGATATTAAATTTTCGCGCGAGGCACGGGGAATTTTATTAATATATATATATATATATATATATATATATATATATACTAAGACATATTCACAAAACAAAATTAAAAATTTCAAACTTGTTCTGTTTCATATCATTAAAAAAATAGCGTTATTTTAGTAATATAAAATTAGTTGGGCCCCTTTAGAAAGCCCACATTCCAAGTACCAAAGTATATTATAGAGGATAATCTCATAAATTATCATTAATTATGAAACTATTTAGGGGTTTGACCATTTTGGGATTTTAGGGTTTCACAGATCACTTTAGTCTCGCTTCTATACGAGTTGTTCTTCTCAACCAAGGCTTACATTGGCGGTCATCACTTCCAACTTTTGTGAGTTTTTTTTTTACATTTATTTATTTAAATTTTATCCTCAAAATCTTAAAGACTTCATATGTGATCCATTGCCTGTTTAAATTTTTTTGGAAACATTAAATTTTTGTTCAAGTGATTGAAGAACAAGATCCAACTCAGATTCACCATACATTCTTGTCTATAACGTAGAGTTTTTTCCGTTGAATTATTTTTTGATCTTCTATGAAATTCCATGAGTTGATCATAAATGGAACAATGAAGATTTGTATAATAGATAATGACATGTTTAGAATTGAGGTGTGATTGTGTTTTTTATTTCCCATGAACTATTTTTACGAATCTTTCTTGCAACTCAGTCACATAAATAATAAATATATCCACAAAGGTAGTGTTAATGTCTATGTTCCCCCTATATTTCCCACACTACACTTGTTAGATTATACTGACTATGTTATTTAACAATCTTTATTTTAGTTATTAGTGTTTACTTTTATCTTAGTTTCAAATTATTTTTATTCCTGGTTTGTTTTCCTCATGTTTCTAATTTAGCATAACCCTATTATTATTTTTGTTTTTGAAATTACACCTCCTAATATTAAAGAGATTGTGTCATTTACAAATTTGGCTTTTAGTGAGTGATAGTTATTAAAGTAGAATTTCATCATTAAGTGAGGTAAGAGACAAGTTTTCCTTTAGTTTGTTTTTTTGAATTATATTTACTTAAGGTATGTTGAAATTTATTTCTTATTATGTTGAATTTGAGATAAGAGTGTTATGTTAAAAATTGGATTATATATTTAGCTTATAGTTTCAATTTTTATTATTTTGTGGTACAATTGATATATTATTTTTGTCAAACATTTGAGTTATGTTATGACATTATATTTGTAGATTTTATCCTTTGGCCAAGTAACTCGTTTATGATGTTCTTATAAAATGAGTTTTTTTACTTATTTAAAGTAATTGAATTAAAATTTTATTAATTGGAAATTATATATCAATCTTTTTTTACATTATTAGTTACAAATATATAATTATTAATTAGTATATTTTAAATAAACTATATGTATCTTAAAAACCTTATTTAGTCTCATTTATAAAGACACATATCTGCCATATACTAACTTAAATTAATTTTGAAATCAAAATTAATTTAACAGTAATTGTACTTGTTCAACCAAACAATACGCTTGTTATTATAATTATTATATTATATTGAGTAATTATTATGTTGAGTAATTATTATGTTGTGTAATTATATAATTACAAGGGTGGTAATTACATTAATTGTAATTAACATGTAGCTTTTCAAAGAGATCCTAAACAATTTAAGAATGGTAATGGATTCAGTTTTGTTATATATTCTTGTTTTCAGCCTTGATAATTTTTTGGAAGTTTTTTTTGATTTTCTATGTCATGCCATGAGATGAGATTACATGGAATAGTGAAAAATCATATAGTCAATCCTAACTTATTTTCAATTAAGGTATGATTGTGGTTTCTTTGTTTCTATGAGCGGTTACTTAAAAATCATTCTTGCAACTCTTCTTGGAAAACTCTTCTTTTAATCTGATGGTTTTCTGTAAAAAGATCTATATCCAGAAGACACTTGTAAAATTATACTGAATATTTTGTTATTGTTTACCAATGTATGTTTTAGTCATTGTTGTGTACCTTTATTGTGTTATGTTATTTCAATAGTATCTCTGTTTCTCTGCCATATGTTAGTTATTATTGTATACTTATTCTTCTTTTTCTAATTTTTATTTAAGGTGTTTTATATCTTATTAATTCTCTATTTTCTGCTAAAAGTTTGAATCATTATTTTACTTTTTTAGAGAGAGGAAAAGAATAAAAGCGGATTTCATTTAAATAATCAGCATCATAAAAGGAGATATGAGTTTTTCCGATCAACCGCCTTATCCTCTGCATTTTATTCTAATTCCATTTGCTGATGGTGATGCTGGAGGTGTTTGTCCTCATTCTTCGATGAACTATGATCTATTTGAGTCCTATTGTCAGTTTGAGCATGCACCTTTTTTCAAGAGAATGACAGATTCCGATAACAACTTGCCAAATTCTATAACATTCCCAGCTATTAAATATAGAGTGAATTCACCAAATCTTCAAGAAAGCAAAGAGATGAGCCATTTATTTTATAAAACCTGCATGTGTGCTAAGTTCTTGAAAGAAGCTTACAAGAATGGGGAAAATTGTACTTTTGCTCATGGTGTTGAAGATCTGCGGGATCCTCCTCCCAATTGGCAGGATCTAGTCCTTGTAAAGGATAGAGAGTTGAATGAGGATAAGGAAAAAATGCATAGGATGAAAATTTGCAAGATATTTTATGATGGAGAGGAGTGTCCTTATGGACATAAGTGCAAATTTCGTCATGAACGTCCTCCAAATTTTAAGACCAACATGCCAAAGGACAAGGAGAGTTTTGCAATAAGTATCAAAACTACAAGGAACATTAGTGATCCTAAGATGATTGAGACTAGTAAGAATGAAAATGATATTGTCCGTTTTAAGATGCCTACATATTGGAAGACAAAGATATGTAACAAGTGGGAGAGAACAGGTCAATGCTCCTTCCGTGATCGTTGTCACTTTGCTCATGGCCTATCAGGTAAGCTAATCTTTTTTTGCCCTCACATTTTCTTTCATTTATATAATTCAATTACATATTTATTGTAAAAAAAAAGGGTGAATAGTACTAGTTATTGATAGAGATCCTAGAGGAAATATTTTTTGTTGCTATGTAAGTTCTTTGTTAGAGATGAAATAGTTCAAATTAGAATGAGAATCTTATATAAAATTGGAAAGAGAGAAGGACTAGGTATTGATAGAGATCCTAGAGGAAATATTTTTTGTTGCTATGTAAGTTCTTTGTTAGAGATGAAATAGTTCAACTTAGAATGAGAATCTTGTATAAAATTAGAAAGAGAGAAGGTCTTCATATGATTTACCTTTTGTATAGTAATTACATTAGAAAAGAGAAAATATCATGTAAAAAAATTGTAGCCAAAATAGCATTCAACAGTTGTATTCTTTCATTAAACATGAAAATCTTGATGTGTTTGGGTCCATATAATATTCCAGGAATTGGTTGTGTTACAATGTCCTTTGGTTGGTATTTCACATATTCACAACTATTTATTGTTCTCCAATGGCGACTATCTTATTTCCTCTGAAATACATTAGATATGTAGTTTCTCTGTCTATTCATATCTAACATTTAAAGCAAGTAACAATGCAAAGCTAACAACATCTATCCTACATCTTGGTTTTTATAGGTCTAACATTAAAGTAACTTGGTCGTTGCAAATTTTTTACTAAACAAGTAGACACAAAGTATGTGAATGATGGTTTCATGAGTTACATATCTCTTATATATTAATTTTTTATATTTGACTTTCTATAGTAAAATATGAGATCTATTGACTTTGATTGTGATCGCTTACTTGGAGTCATATTCTTATTTTTCTATTTAAGTCTAATCTTGTAAGCTCTTTCCTGAAGTTCTTTCTTTCTCTGCTCATTTTGCTGATGTTGGCTATTTCTTTTAGCAGAGTTGCAAGCGCCTGTGTTGATGAATTCTGTCCCTATTACTCCAAGGCCCTTCTCAGCTCCACTTGTTGCAAACACAGTGGTCAATGCTTCGGTAAAAGATGAAAAAGGGGAAAAGAAAATCCTTAAGTGGAAACCATCAAAAAAGATCGCAGAGATATATGGAGATTGGCTCGATGGTTATATTCCACCCCACCTCTTATTTAGAAACATTGAGAGCTGAACTTTCAATTTACTGTTTCCAATACTGATTACATAAATGGATGCATCCCAACAAGGATTATAAACTAATATGGATATCGTATTCATGGTGTATCATCCAATAGTAGTTTGTTATATAGTTTCTTACATTATGTGTAAACTGTTGGCTTTTGAAATTTGGATTTAATATTCTTTTTGTTTTAAGGTAATACCTAATAGAATTTCATCGAGAAAAACATAGAAATATCATAAATTTATTTTACTTTATTCGGATGGATTATCATTATTTTATATGTTTTTCTTTTCTCTGAGAAGATTGGTTTATTAATGATCGTACTAGAACACCAACATATACAAATGCTCATTTTTGTCTACCTTCATTGTAGTTCCAAGGCCAAACACTATTTGATTTTTTCAGATCTTTATGGGCCAGTTGACAAATTAATAGCTCATTTAGCCATGTTTTTGGTAGGCCAAATATCACAATTCAAAATCTTAGATCATGATGACACGTACATCCATTCCACTAGTAGGTAAGTCGAACCCATAGATTGGAACTAGAAGTAACGAGCTATCACACGAAATAGAAGAATGCTAAAGTAAAGGACAAATACAAGAAGTTAAGAGTCAAGATCTACAAAAACATCCCCAAAACATTATATCAATCGATACTCAAGCTATTTGTCAAGACCCAGACCGCCGTGATTGGCACCCACACTAAACCTCCGGTGGTAGAATCATTACTACAGCTCGACTAATCAACTTAACAAAAAACTATGCATCTAAATATACTGAAGCAGTTTTAAATGATAGAATAACATGGAGTTCCCATAAACTCCGAAAGCATTAAATAAACAACTAAACATAACTATTGCGGAAATTCAACCCCTAGAACATGAAGTCAAGGTACCAAAACTCTACTAACGACAAGTCTAAGAAAAAGGGGTGCAACCCCAAAAACTAACATACGAATAAGTCTAACTATAACGTCTGAGTCCGAAAGGAATGGACCAAACAATAGGGGGCCCATGACAGCTTGGAAGAATTGGCTCACCCTTGAATCCAGTCTCGATCAGTGATCTCCTAACTGAGGTCTGTCAGTAGCCGCCTGAAATTACCCTGTACTCAACAAAGAACGAGGAAGTGCAGTATCAGTACACAACCACAGTGTACTGATAGGATCACGCGGCCATTCTAATAAGCACAATATACACAAGCAATTACAACACAATCAACACACATATACGGAATGCACAAGCCAGTTATCATTTAAGAGCAACATACAATTTCCCAATATGAATGATAAGTAGAAATAAGCATAATAATCAGAAATGGTTCTCTCATGGAACCCATACCCAAATTGTTAGTGTGTCAGAACGTGATACCTGATCCAATGTATGTGTCGGAACGTGACACCCAATCCAATATATGTGTCAGAACGTGACACCCGATTCAATGCATGTGTCGGAGCGTAACACCCGATCCAATCAGCACAACCACAATCACAACCACACCATAATGAATAGTACATATAGTCACATGGTCAAGTAGTAGGTTCATTGCATGTAGTTGTTCACACATAATCATTTCATTAGGTTCGATTCACATTTCCCTATTCACATACACGCATGCATACAATGCAGCAATCAACCGGTGTATATCACACAAACAGGAAATCAAACCATCACCTACCTCGAAACCAAACTTGAATCCTCCTAAGACACTTGAGCCTTCCCTATGCGGATTCTTTCCGGTTGTTCCTAGTCTAAAATAGTTAAATAATGCATGATTACTAAACAAGGCCTAATTTACCCAAATTATAACTAAAATTATCAACCCAAGGCAATACCCAGATCCTAATGCTCAATTAGGACTTTTCCACCATGAACTTCATGCCAAAACCGTCCCCAAATGATAATTACCCAAGATTCTAAGTTCTAAGAATCGAAACACATTTTGGGGGAGTAATTATCTTACCTTTAGTGTTAAAAATTATGGGAAAACTGTCAAGAACCTCTATGGGTCATCTCCTAGCTCTCAAGAATGATGTTTTGCAGAAAATAACGAAATTGGGGTTTTTCCCTAACTTAAGTTGCGATTGTCCTGCCACAGCGGCCCCTACTTGGCGGGAATAATCCCACCCGACAGATTGCACTGATACAGAAGCTCGGAATTTGAGTTCCAAGCTTCCATTTCGCAACACACCTTCAACCCTTGACGTTGAGAAACTACCCTTTCATGCCAAGATCAGTTTTGGGAGTTCTACATGCCCGAATTCGATTGTGTAAAGCCGTACAGTCTCCTTAACGTTTTGGCTATCCACTCATGTGATCAAATTCTTAATTAAATCCCCCATTCATTACTAGATTTCCCTAGACCTTACCTGACTCAGATTTCATCCAAATCTGGACTAGACTAGACATTTCCAAGTCACTACTCAAAAGTTTTCTGGCCCCAATTCTTTCTCCATTGGCTTTTCCATAACGACGGGAACATGTCATTACAGTAGATACCAGTTTACCCATCACTCATCCCTGAGTGATAAACTAGGAAAAACTGGCTAAGGTAAGAGTAGAGTAGTACTTGAATTGTTAAATAACTGTGGATACTTGTCTCACATGTCCTTCTCAGTTTCCCAAGTAGCTTCCTTAACTGGACGATGCTTACATTGAACTTTCACAAATATTATCACCTTGGTCCTCAGCTTCTGGACACTGTGGTCAAGAATTTCTATTGGTTCTTCCTCATACCAAAGGTCTTTTTCTAACAAAACTAAGGCCCACTTAATGATGTAATCCCCATCAACATGATACTTCTTCAACATGGACACTTGAAACACTGGATGGACCCCAGATAGGCTAGGCGGTAAAGCCAACCTATAAGCCACTAGCCCTACATAGTCAAGAATCTCCAATGGCCCGATGTAGCGAGGACTAAGCTTGCCCTTCTTGATGAATCTCATCACCCCTTTCATGGGTGACACTTTTAAAAGAGCTTGCTCACAAATATAAAATGTCATGTCCCTTACCCTACGATCTGCATACTTTTTCTATCGACTCTGGCCTGCTAGAAGCTTAGTTTGGATGCTTCTCACCTTATCTTGAGCATCTTTCACCAAATCAACCCCCAAATATTTCACATCTGCAGCCCCAAACCACCCCATGGGTGATCTACATCTCCTCCCATAAAGTGCCTTGAACAGTGCCATGTTAATGCTGGAGTGGTAACTATTATTATAAGAGAACTCACACAATGGTAGGAATTTATCCCAATGCCCTCCAAAGTCAATCACACATTTTCTCAACATGTCGTTTAACACTTGAATTGTCACGCCCCGAGGCTACCCTCTTGACGTAAACATGGGACTTAGGATCACGAGTGACCCCAAGCTAACCCTAAGCTGGCATATCATAAGTATACTAAGATAAACTGAAATGAGAAATACTGCGCAGAAGCTTAAACATGTTATAATCTGAAATGATGGGGAATACCGGACCTAAGTTTGAATATATAAACTGCGAGTTTAATAACAATTGAAAGATCAAACTCAAGCTAAAACTAAATCTAACTATGTCTTAAATAAGCCTCTAATTGACTAGAGATGCTAGGACATGCCCCCAGCTAACTCTAGCAATACTGAAAGTAAAGGAAAACATGTCTATCGTCCTTGAAGAATGAGGACTCACCACTGATACTGCTGGAGATCGGGAACTGATCTATGCATGATCTGAATGCTGAGGACCTGAACCTACATCACGAGAAGATGTAGTGCAGAGTATATGTAAGTACTTGAAAGGTACTGAGCATGTAGGATAGAATAAATCTGAACAATATACACAACTGAACAAAACATACTGAGCAATGATATAAAATGAACATGATAAATATACTAAACATACTGAAGATGAACTGAACTGAGTTCAATGGCAAAATATATGATATGCTGAAGCTGAATACTGAACTGTAACTGATAACCTGATCAACGTACTGGAATCTGACTGTGGGAGCTACTAATAACCGACATAAAACCACATGAGCTAAGCGTGGAGTCTGATGTATACGCCCTATTGAGAGGACCCAATATACCTTTCCTGGGGTATAGAGGCATGACTGGCGTGATCACTTAAAATGATGCCCAACAGAAGGGACTTATACTCTTATGGGGGCACATAATTCTGGGACTATGAGGGTGACTGACCCTAGTCCAACTCGCTCTAAGCCTACTCCTAACTAGAACATGTACTATATAACATAACTACAAATAAACTGGATAGCTCAAGATTCTGACATGCTAATTGAAAATGCAACATTAAGTACTGATAATGAAACATTTGAAAACTGAGGCATGTATATTTGTCCTAACTAGTGTAATTCATGCACTAAAAGAACTACACGATTAGGGTTCTGAGTTCCATGTAAGAATCTATGCAAAACATCACTAAGACATGATAATCTGATTAGGAACGTTACAACAACTAAATCGTAGCAATTATCTGGAGGTCTAGACACTCTAGGTCTAAGAAATATTGAGGGAATCAAGATTTGGACTGAAATCTAGGGACCTAGTTGATGAAAGGAATCCACCAGGGAAATCCCACATACCTGGTGATGAATTTCACGGAGAAATCTTTCGATTTCAAGGATGGAACTGAAGAAAATCTTGTAGATGTTCTTAAGGATGCTAACACCTGAACTCTCTTCTTTTGCTCTAGTTTTTGGTGAATGATCGATTAGGGTAAGTTTTGATTAAGTTACTAGGCTCAAACTGACCAAAATTACATAGTTTAGGTGTCCAATGCATAAGGGAAAAGACCAAAATGTCCCCACTTAAAATCTGATGGGGCCCGACCATGGACATAACGATGGCCCATCACAAGGACCATGGTCCATCGTATGGGTTGTGGTCTGTAAGCCAGTAGCTATAGGTTATTGGCCATTCCCTCTACCGTCCACTTTAAGGACCGTGTAAAGTATCACGGATCGTGAAGGTGATCGTGGTCCTTCACTTGGGCTAGGGGCCTGCTGGCTTAGCTTCAAGGGAGCCACCATAGCCCGTCATCAAGACCACAGCTCGTGAAGGGCTCCGTGGTCTCGTGTCTGAGCTTGGTGGGGTTCTGCTTGGCATACATGAGCCTCCCCATGACTCTTTGGGTGGTCCACTGCCCGTGAAGGGTCCCGTGCTCGACCTCTTCTGGGAGGGTATGAGGCACGAGCAGGTCAACGAACCGTGGTTCCTTTCACGGTCCGTGAAACCTGCCGTGGTTCACAGATTTTTTTGTGGAGTCCAAAAGCTGATTTTTCTGAGGTGTTACAATATCTCCCCCTTGGGAACATTCGTCCTCGAAGGAAGCCTGAGCGAGCAGAGTATGTAGGGAAAGAACTGTAAACCCTACCACTAAGTACTGGAAACTGAAACCTAACTGAACTATCCCATGAACATTCAAATATGCTGAAAATGCAAGTATAACTGAAAGAACATGATACTAAGACTGAAATTACGCAAGAGTAACTAAAAGACTGAAGAGGAACTATTACCTCAAGCTGGAATGGGATCGAAAGGAAAGAGATGAGGATATTTGGCTTTCATGGCTGCTTCTGCTTCCCAAGTAGCTCCCTCGACAAATTTACTCCTCCACAATACCTTAACTGAAGCGACTTCTTTATTTCTCAACCTTCGAACCTGACGATCAAGAATTTCAAATGGAACTTCCTCATAAGTGAGACTATCCTTCACAGCCACACTCTCTAAAGGTACTATGGATTCTACATCACCCACACACTTCTTTAACACGTAATATGAAAGACCGAATGCACTGCTGCTAATTTTGCTGGTAACTCTAACTCATATGCTACTTTACCAACCCTTTTCAAGATCTTGTAAGGGCCAACATATCTAAGGCAGAGCTTCTCCTTTTTTCCAAATCTCATCACCCCCTTCATGGATGACACTTTCGGGAAAACCCAATCAACTTGGAACTCCAAGTCCCTTCTCCTCACATTTGCATATGAGTTATGGTGACTCTAGGCTATCTTAAGTCTATCTCTGATGAGCTAAAATTTTTCCATAGAATTATGAACCGAGTCTAGCCCTATTGAGGCTGCTTTACCTACTTCAAACCAACCAACTGGAGATATGCATCTACGCCCATACAATGTCTCATAAGGGGCCATCTGAATGCTGGAATGGTAGCTATTGTTGTAGGAAAACTTTATAATAAGAAGGTGATAATCTTAACTACCCTTGAAGTCGATCACACAAGCTCTCAACATGTCCTCTAAGGTCTGTATGGTATGCTCTGCCTGACCATCCGTTTGTGGATGAAATGTTATGTTGAGGTTAACCTGAGTACTAAGACCTTTCTGAAATGACTTCCAGAAATGAGAGGTAAACTGAGAACCTCTATCTGAGATGATAGACAAAGGAACCCCATGCAAGCTGACTATCTCATTAATGTAAGTCTTGGCGTAGTCCTCTGCTGAATTAGTAGTCTTAACAGCCAAAACGTGAGCGGACTTAGTAACTGTGTCTGCTATCACCCAAATGGAGTCATGCTATCTACGTGTACGAGGTAAACTTATAGTGAAGTCCATGTTTATCACTTCCCACTTCCATGTAGGAATGTTAATATCTTGAGTCATACCTCCTAGTTTCTGATGTTCTACCTTCACCTGTTAGCAATTTGGGCACTTAGCCACAAAATCAGCTATATCTCTATTCATGCCATTCAACCAAAAGACTTTCCGCATATCACAATACATCTTGGTGGCACCTAGATGAATAGAATACCTGGAGTTATGGGCTTCTGTAAGGATCCACTGCTTCAACTCACCCACCTTAGGAACACATAAACGACCCTGGTAGAGAAGCACACCATCTCCCCCTTGGGAGAAACCCTCAACTTTATATTGATGAACTACACCCTTCAATTGAAGTAATATCGAATCACTGTCTTGTGTTTTCTTAACATCCGCTACTAGTGAAGATTCTGAGCTATTCTGAACGGTCACACCATCATCTGATATGTTCAGAAGGCAAACTCCAAAGCGAGCAAGCCGGTGAACATCTTTTGCTAATTCCCTTCTTTCTTTCTCAATATGCGCTAAACTTTCTATAGATAGTTTGCTAAGAGCATCAACTACTACGTTGGCCTTACCAGGATGGTAGAGCGCATTCATATCATAGTCTTTGAGGAATTCAAGCCATCTCCTCTGGCGAAGATTTAACTCTTTCTTGGTGAAAACATACTGAAGGCTCTTATGGTCTATGGACACATCTACGTGAACACCATACAAGTAATGTCTGCAAATATGAAGGGAATACTACGACTTCAAGCTCGAGGTCATGAGTCGGATAGTTCTTCTCATGCACCTTAAGCTTTCTAGAAGCGTAAGCTATAACATTACCTTGCGGTATCAACACACAACCTAGGCCGACTCTGGATGTATCATAATAGATCACATAACCATCTGACCATTTTGTAGAGTCAAAACATGAGTTGTAGTCAACCTAATTTTCGGTTCTGAGAATCTCTTCTCAGACTCTATTGACCACTGAAGCTTAACCTTTTTCTGAGTCAACTTACTCAATGAAGAAGCTATGGATGAAAATCATTCCACAAACCTTCTGTAATAACCGGCTAGACCCAAGAAACTTCTGATATCTGTAGGAGAGGTAGGTCTGTGTAACACCTCGGAAACCAGACTTAGAAAATGCAGCAGAAAAATAGCAGAACCAATGAACCACGACAGGGTTCACGGACTGTGAGAGAGACCACGGTCCGTTGACCTTCCCGTGAACTCAACACCCTTCCAACATAGGTTGACCACGGAGCCTTTCATGGGCTATGGACCACCTCATAGGACGTACTGGCGCTTGTCGGATCCAGGTAGAGTCCACCAGGCCCAAACGTCAGACCACGGGACCCTTCATGGGCCGCGGTCCTGAAAACGGACTGTGGTAGCGCCCGTGGAAGATCGTCTCAAAAACCAGCGACCACAGGACCAAGGACCACGGCCAGCTTGACTGTTCGTGGTCGTTTTGATTGTCCGTTAGAAAGTCCGTGGTCAACTGCGTCATATTTTAAGTCAGGGGTCATTTTGTCCTTTCCCCTATGCATTGGACCTCTAAACTACATCGTTTAACCCCTAAACTACGTATTTTTTGTCAGTTTTTGCCTAGAAACAAAATTAGAATCTAACCTAATCAATCATTCAAAAAAAATCACTGATCTTAGAGCAAAATAAGAGGATAAGTCGAGCAACCCTAATCCAAGAATGCAAAAAGATTTCATCAGTTCCAACCCCAAATCGAAAGATTTCTCCGTGAAAGTCGTCACGATGTATGTGGGATTTCACTAGTGGGTTCCTTTCACCAATTAGGTCCCTAGAATTCTGTCAAATTCTTTATTCTCTACATCATGCTTAGACTTAGGGTTTCTAGAATTTCAGATTTATGTTGGGAATCAGTTGTTAGACTAATCCAAATCAGATTATCATATTATTGTAGAATTGTTGCTTAGTTCTTGCATGAAATTCAGAACCCTAGTTGTGTAGATTCATTTAGGTCATGAATTATACTTGCTAGGACATCTTATTCGATTATACATGTTCCAGTTAAGAATGTTTCATTATCAGTATATTAATGTTGCATTTTCAGTTAACATGTCAGAATCTCGAGCTATTCAGTTTATTATAGTTTTGTTGTATTTTATACATTCTATTGGGAGTAGGCTTAATACCGAGTTCTACTAGAGTCAGTCACCCTCATAGTCCCAGAACTAATTTCCCCCGTAGGTAAGTCTCCTCTGTAGGCATTATATTTAGTGATCATGCCAGTCATGCCTCTATACCCTTAGCAAGTTATATTGGGTCCCCTCGATGGGGCGTATACATCGGACTCCACATTTAGCTCATGTGATTTTATGTTGGTTATTAGTAGCTCCCACATATAGATTCTAGTGTATTGACCAGGTTCTTAGTTTCAATTAAGTATTCAGTATGTTATAAACTTGATCATTACATTCAGTCAGTTCATATTCATCATGTTTAGCATTTTCTTTATGTTTATCTTATATCATTGATCACTATGCTCTATTTATGTTATGTAATATTGTTCAGCTTTATTCTATCTTGGATGCTCAGTACCTTCAAGTACTGACACATACTCTGCTTACATCTTCTCGTGATGTAGGTTCAGGTCCTCCACATCCAGATCATGCATAGATCGGTTCTCGATCTCCAGTTCAATAGTATCAGTGGTGAGTCCTCATTCTTTGAGGACGAGTGACATGTTATCTTTCCATTTTCAGTATTTGCTAGAGTTAGTTAGGGGCATGTCCCAACATCTCTAGTCAGTTAGCACATAGATAGATTGAGGTTTAGCATTTGAGTAATAGTTCATTGTCTTAAAATCTTGTTCAGTATATATATATTCAGACTTAGAATGGGTATTCCCCATCATATCATTTTATGATATGTTTCTAGCTTCTGCAAAATATGTCTATTATGTTGAAAATCTTTAAGTATGCTTATGATATGCTAACAGGGTTAACTTGGGGGTCACTCGTGATCCTAGGTCCCGTGTCCACATCCTGGGGGTAGCTTCGGGGAGTAACAAACTTGGTATCAGAGCATTAGGTTTAAGTGTCCTAGGATGTCTGAAAAGCCGCATTAAGTAGAGTCCTTTTCATGGGTGTGAAGTGTACCACATCAGATGAGAGGGAGTCTAGGAGGTGCTTTAGTAAATCGTGCTACTTTTATCGTGCGTGATGTATGATCCAACTTCTCTTTCTAATTGTCGTTATGCATTTTCAAATCGTGCCTCCTCGTACAGCTTACGCAAGGAATGCGAATGCCCGCAACACTAACACAGTTTCTCCCGTCCCAGACTATGAGGTTTCAAATGCAGAGTTTTGAAATGCTATTCAACTTTTGGCTCAGAGTGTTGCCAACCAGAACAATCAGCAGGTTCCAATTTCTGCAAATGCTAATGTTGGGTCCACACTAGCCAGGGTCTGAGACTTCGTCCGTATGAATCCACCAGAATTTCTAGGGTTGCAAGTTGGAGAATATCCCCAGAACATCATTGATGAGGTCAAGAAAATCTTTGGAGTGACGCAAATGACTAGAAATGATAGAGTAGAGTGGGCGTCCTACCAACTTAATGATGTATCTCACATCTAGTTTATTGAATGGAAAGAAAACAGGGGTACAAATGCATTTCCTATCAAGTGGGAATGTTTTAATGAGGCTTTTATGGACAGGCTCTTCCCAAGAGGGTTGAGGGAGGCAAAAGCTCAGGAGTTCATGAATTTGAGGCAAGGTAGTATGTCAGTCCAATAGTACAGGCTCAAGTTCACACAACTCTCCAGGTATGCTCCCCATATGGTTGCTGATTCGAGGGCGCATATGAATAAGTTTCTATACGTGGGTTATTATAGAAGGTTCGTGGAAGGATTTTCATCCATAGCTTTTCCATTGACTAAGTTAAACTCAGAAAAAGGTTAAGATTCAATGGTCAGATGAGTGTTAGAAGAGCTTCGCAGAACTGAAACTAGGTTGACTACAACTCTTGTTTTGACTCTACCAGAGGGTTCAGACAGTTATGTGATCTATTGTGATACGTCCAGAGACGGCCTAGGTTGTGTGTTGATGAAGTGAGGTAAGGTTATAGCTTATGCTTCTAGACAACTTAAGGTGCATGAGAAGAACTATCTGACTCATGACCTCGAGCTTGTAGCCGTAGTATTTTCCCTAAAGATTTGGAGACATTTCTTGTATGGTGTTCACGTGGATGTGTTTACAGACCATAAGAGCCTTCAGTATGTGTTCACCCAGAAAGAGTTGAATCTTCGCCAAAGGAGATGGCTTGAGTTCCTCAAAGATTATGAAATGAATGTGCTTTACCATCCTGGTAAGGCCAATGTAGTAGCTGATGCTCTTATTAGACTATCTATGGGTAGTGTAGCACATGTTGAGGAAGAAAGAAAAGAACTAGCAAAAGATGTTCACATGCTTGCTCGCTTGGGAGTTCGCCTTATGGGCATATCAAATGGTGGTGTAACAGTTCAGAATCTTCATTAGTAGCGGAGGTTAAGGAAAAACAAGACAATGTTCCGGTATTGCTTCAACTGAAGAGTGCAGTTCATCAGCAGAGAGTTGAGGTTTTCTCCCAAGGGGGAGATGGTGTGCTTCGCTATCATGGTCGATTATGTGTTCCTAAGGTGGGTCAGTTGAGACAACATATTCTTGCAAAAGCCCATAACTCCAGGTATTCTATTCATCCAAGCGCTACTAAGATGTACCCTGATCTGCGAGAAGTCTTTTGGTGGAATGACATGAAAAGGGATATAGCAGATTTTGTGAATAAGTGCCCCAATTGTCAGCATGTGAAGGTATAACATCAGAAACCAGGAGGTATGACTCAAGAGATTAACATTCCTACATGGAAGTGGGAGGTGATCAACATGGACATCATTACAGTTTTATCTTGTACGCGCAGACAACATGACTCTCTTTGGGTGATAGTAAACAAAGTTACTAAGTCTACTCATTTCTTGGCTGTTAAGACTACAGATTCGGTGGAAGACTACACCAAGCTTAACATTAGTGAGATAGTTAGGTTGCATGCGGTTTCTTTGTCTATCATCTCAGATAGAGGTCCTCAGTTTACCTCTCATTTTTGGAAGCCATTTCAAAAAGGTCATGGTACTCAGGTTAATCTCAACACAACTGTCACGACCCGAGAGCACCCTCTAGTCGTAACACGGCGTAATTATCCCCGAAGGGGTCACATACAATCCCTTAGCTTTCATCATCACATAAAGACATAGAAAAATAAGGATAAATTAAAAACTTTTACAATAGAAGTCACTTCTTCATATGAGGAAAATAGGAACTAGACATTGTCTCAATCACCATCTAAACATAAGAGTACAAATAGGGACAATGGCCTTTACATCAATAAAGTTCCCAACAATGGGAAATACAACATAGTCTAGAACATAAGAGGTAAACTAGAAAGTTGACTCAATAGCAACTCATCTTTGAACTTGAGGACTCACCAAGCCTAGGGAATAGTCGACCCAATCTTCACCTTCAAGGAAGTAGTAATATCAACGACCGAAACCTACACTCATAGTAAAGTAGAAAATATGGGTTAGCATAATGAATTGTACTAAGTATGGGCACATTGCACAAAATCCTGAAAACATGCATAAACGGGATATTTAGTTGAAATCATGCTTTTAGTCAAGTTTAGAAACCAGTATGCACATTCATAAAGAAACATAATTCAATTCGACATATGATCATCCCAAAGCCATACAAGTGCAATGCAAAGGCAAGATCCCATAATCCTACCAAATGCTAAGTATTACTTTTAGGCTACCAACAATACACATAAAAGTGATGACATTCACATTCATAGCATTCATTCATACCTTCCATGCATTATTCATAAATCACAATAATATAAGAGAACCTTACCAAAACTCCTCTTAGAGTATACTTGTGCAATGTAAAAGTGAAGTCCCATACCCCCACTCACACGAAGAAATACCTCTTAAGAAGTCCTACTTAAAGTCCATGTCATTACCATAGTTCATTCATTATCATTTAGGGAAAGATTGCATTAACCGATATAGACCATGTGAGCTACATGGAATCCGGTGTTCTACCCCTACACTGAAAAGTGGTGTTCTAATTGCCTAATGTAGAACGTACATTCTAGTTATTTAGGTGGATCCACTAGCTAAGACCTATGTGGGCACATAGTTACGGGAAAAGGAGATTGCTACTAGAAAATCAGACTTGCTAAACGTAGAAGGTTTCTATCTCATGAGATATCCTACATTGGGAAGCCGAACTTGCTAAACGTAAAAGCCCCCATCTTACTTTCATGTCCTCTCGGTGCTAAGCATTATCCCCTTTAAATGTCACCATTAGCCTTTACTTAGGTTCAATAGTCACAATTGAGTGTATTAGACCCTCATGTCAATATATATCATAATAGCCCATAGGTTCCTTAAGTGAGAATGCTCCTTTCACATTTAGAAACGTTAGCATGTGAGTAAAACCTTTCACATTGCAATAGTAGTGTGATCATGAGAAGGTCCTTTCAAGCAACACCATAGGTTTACTATAAACATACATCCATACATGCTTTATACATAATCAAGTGTATAGGGTACAAGGGAGATGGATCTGACATCAATACCCCCACACTAGATATAGGATCATTCATATCCAAGTAATTCACATAGTCATGTAGAAAAAAACATCAACATACACCAACCCTAGACAATTACCCTTTTAGGCCATGAACCATTATCAACCCTAACATTATAGAATTACCACAATAGATAGATATTTCATGATTCCACCATCAATTAAACATAAACAGAATCAACTACCAACTTCCATGGCTAATCAAGTCACATCCTAGTTCACAATTTAGGAAGAAAGGGAAACCATGGGTCCAAGAGAGATCTTCATAAAAAATTATCAATACTACATCAATTTAACCATAAACCATCATATTAACCACAATAGATCATAATTGAACAATATAAATCGTTCTAGAAGAAGATCCCATGTTTAGAGTAAAACCCTAGATTTTGGAAGTCTTAAAAACACACTTTGAAGGGACTTTTTGGGGGATAACTACCCAGGAATGAAGAGTATCCATACCTTAGGTGGAGATCCTCATGAATTTGGAGAAGAAAGACTTGTTCTTGGTGACCTAGCTTGAGCTTTGACTTGGTTCTTCAATGGAGTCCTAGAGAGAGAACTTTGGGAGGGAAGTGGGTTTTGATTTTGAGTTGTGAGTTGTGAGGGGTCAAAGACTTGTTTTAATACCTAAAAATACTTTAATATACTTAAAATAACTAATTATAACCGTCCTAACCCTTAAAACAAATTAATTAGGAAGTTACTAAACTACCCCCACTTAGCCGACCTAAGGAAGTCCACCCAAGCCACCATCCACGGGTCCCCGTTCACGGGGAGTGGTCCAAATCACAGACGATACTAGTCACTCGTGGTTTGGATCAGAGATGGGTGGCTCAAGGTTTTTTGTGAGGAGACTAAGTCCCAACTCACGAGACTAATCCATGAGGCGTGATTCAGTCTACGCTCCGTACTGCACACTTGTGAATTGGGGCTGTGGTTAGGCAGTTTGGAGGGTCGTTGGTAGAAACTAAGTGTTGACTCACTACCCCCACCTACGGGGTGTGAGTCAACCTACACCTCGTAGGTTGCCTCTTTGTGAATGAGGCTATTTTGGACAGCTTTTTGGACCTTTCCTTGGGTCCTCCTCATGGACCCTTTCGGGAGGGGGTCCTAGGGGAGTCGTGCCTTGACGTTTAGGCACTAGAACCCTAATACTAAGTTAGGAACATTATTTTAGGACCTTAACCTTACGTTTATATTTCATTAGGCTACTAGACTACACGTTAGGCTCTAGTTTAGTTCATTAGAAATACGGGGTGTTACATTATCTCCCCCTTGGGAACATTCGTCCCCAAATGATGACCAAAACATCAACTAAGTTAGAAACTCTAGACTTGTAGCCCATCATGCATGACATATCAAATATGAGCAAAGCTCACAAAAGCACTATCCACCATATGCAACATTCAAAAGGTGGAAACTTCATCTCCATCACAAGACATAGTCAATGCGACATGTGAGAGTAGAACCATATCTACCAAAAATCAATATGGGTGAAACTCATCAAATAACATAAACGTAGGAGGAACTACCTTCTCCAACTCAAGCAAGCTCAACACAACAATATTAAGCCAACATGTCATGTCATCAAAACATAACTAAGCATGCTCATTATTTCACCTCATGAAGCTGAATATGCAATCATCATACTACAATGCAATTCAACAAGAGGAACATATAGATCAAGGAAACTCAATGTAAACAATAAATGGATTCTCATAAGAACATGTAACACATAAGGAAATCATGGAGGGCTCATTCAATACACATGACTCCCAAAACACTAAAAACTATAGATGAATGACTTACCTCAAGTTTGAATAGGAGTAGAAGGAAAAAAATGAAGAAAACAGGACATCATATCAGCCTCGGCCTCCCATGTAGAACCCTCAACGAGGTGATTCCTCCATAGAACCTTAACGGAAGCTACTTCCTTATTTCTCAACTTCTTCACTTGCCGGTCCAAAAACTCAGCCGGGACCTCTTCATAAGAAAGGTTCTCATCAACTCCTAAGCCTTCTAAAGGAAGGATAGACACCGGATCCCTAATACACTTTTTGAGCATGGAAACATGAAACACCGGGTGGACCGGGGACAACTCATTTGGCAAGTCCACCTCATATGCAACTTTCCCAATACGCTTGAAGACTTGGTATGGGCCCACATACCAGGGACAAAGTTTCCCCTTCTTGCCAAACCTCATCACACCTTTCATAGGTGAGATTTTTAAATACACCCAATCACCAATTTCAAACTCTAGATCCCTCCTTCTATTGTCGGCATAAGACTTTTAATGACTATGGGCCGTCTTCAACCTATCTCTAATAAGTCAAACTTTTTCAATGGCATCATAAACTAGTTCGGGACCAATTAGAGCAAACTCACCTACCTCAAACCACCCAACCGGAGATCTACACCTTCTCCCATAAAGTGCTTCAAATGGAGCCATGGCAATGCTAGAGTGGTAACTATTGTTGTAGGCAAATTCAATCAAAGGGAGATGGTCATCCCAACTACCTTTGAAATCGATCACACATGCTCTCAACATGTCCTCCAAGGTTTGAATGGTCCTTTCCGCTTGAATATCCATTTGAGGATGAAAAGTGGTACTAAGTTTAACATTTGTACCAAGCCCTTGTTGGAATGCCTTCCAAAAGTGTGAAGTAAATTGGGCACCCTGATCCGATATGATAGATAAGGGAACCCCATGCAACCTCACTATATCATTGATGTACAACTTGGCATAGTATTCCACCGAGAACGAAGTCTTAACCAGAATGAAGTGGGCTGATTTAGTCATCATATCGACAATGACCCAAATAGAATCATGTTGCCTTCGAGTACGGGGAAAACCCACTACAATGTCCATGTTCACATCCTCCCATTTCCAAGTAGGAATATCTATATATTGGGACAATCTTCCGAGTTTTTGGTGCTCGGGTTTGACTTGTTGACAATTTGGACACTTGGCTACAAAACCCGCTATATCCTTTTTCAAACCATTCCACAAATAGACTTCCCGTAGGTCACGATACATCTTGGTGGCTCCCAGATGAATAGAATATCGCGAACCATGAGCCTTTTATAAAATTTGCTCCCTTAGGCCATCCACATTCGGAACACACAATCTTCCCTGGTACCTAAGCACCTCATCTCCCCCTTGGGAGAAAGCTTCAACGGACTTATTGAGAACCAATTCTTTCAACTCCATTAAAATAGGATCTAGGTGTTGCTTAGACTTCACATCAACAACAAAGGACGATTCAGAACTATTATGAACCATAAACCCACCCTTGGAGGATTCCATTAGTTGGACACCTAACCGGGCCAACCTATGCACATCACAAATCGATTCCTTCTTCTCATCTTCTACATGGGCCACACTAGCCATTTACAATCTACTTAGGGCATCCGCAACCACATAATCTTTGTCGGGGTGGTATTGGACACTCATGTCATAATCCTTCAAAAGCTCTAACCACCTTTTTTGTCGGAGATTCAAGTCTTTTTGGGTAAACGGTTATTGAAGACTCTTGTGGTGGGTAAACAAATCTACATGTACCCCATAGAGATAGTCCCTCTATATTTTCAAGGCAAAAACCACCGCCGCTAGCTCGAGGTCATGGGTCGGGTAGTTCTTTTCATGAGTCTCGAGTTGCCTTGAATTATAGGTGATCACCTTACCATGTTGCATTAGAACACATCCCAATCCTATTCTCAAAGCATCACAATATACTACGAATCCGTCGGTACACTCCGGCAAGGTCAATATCGAAGCGGAGGTGAGATTATCCTTAAACTCTTTGAAACTCTTTTCACAAGCCTCCGTCCACTGAAATTTTAACTTCTTTTGGGTCAAGGCCGTTAATGGAGAAGCAATAGATAAGAAGCCTTCAACAAATCTCCTATAATACCCGGCCAAACCCAAAAAACTTCGAATAGCGGTGGGACTTAAGGGTCTAGGCCAATTCTTCACCGTATCTATTTTTTTCGAATCCACCTTTATACCCACACTCGACACAATGTGACCAAGAAAAGCAATCGACCTTAGCCAAAACTCGCACCTGCTAAACTTAGCATAAAGTTGGTGGTCCTTGAGGACTTGCAATACTAACCTCAAATGCTTCACATGATCACCCTCATTCCTCAAATAGATCAAAATGCCATCAATAAAAATGATCACAAATAAATCAAGATACTGTCTAAAAACTCTATTCATAAGATCCATGAACGCCGTCGGGGCATTTGTTAGACCAAAGAACATAACTAGGAATTCATAGTGACCATATCTTGTACGGAAAGCCGTTTTAGGAATGTCAACAACTCTCACCCTAAGTTGGTGATAACCCGACCTTAAGTCAATCTTCGAAAAGTAACTCACCCCTTGGAGTTGGTCAAACAAATCTTTAATTCTAGGGATTGGGTACTTATTTTTTATAGTGACTTTGTTCAATTGGTGGTAATCGATACGCATCAGAAGTGAACCATATTTCTTCTTCACAAATAATACCGGGCACCCCATGAAGATAGGCTTGGTTGAATAAAACCCTTATCTAGCAAGTCCTTGAGTTGTTCCTTTAATTCCTTCAATTGGTAGGCGGTTAGTTCCTCCTTCTCTCTTGGAGACACTGCCATAACTTTAAGTACCTTAAACACTTCATTAATGAACCCTTGCGGGTCCTCATCCACTTTGGAGCCATAGAATGTAGGGGGGTTAATCCTTGTGAAATTCCTAATCTTTGAAGTGGTAGTACTTGCATTGGGATTCACTTGGACCCTAGCATCTCTAGTAACTTGAGTCGTTAGAGCATGAGTCAAAGTTTGGAGAGCCATTCTTATCTCCACATTGGTCATAGCTCCCTCATCATTAGGAACTCGAGGGACTTAAGGCTCTTAGGCATCTTGAGGACCTTGGGGAGGAACTCCCTCATCATTCACCATCTCTTCTACCTTTCTTCTTAAGTTCGCCCTTCTTGTATTCATATTCCTATAAGCAGAAGATAAAAAGGGTTAGGAAAAAGGGATTTTATAGAGTAAAAACTCTAAGGCACGATTAAGGAATAATCTAAGAAGTGAAAAGTTCCTAAGCATCTTATAGCCTCTCATTCATAAGTGTGGCGTACTTCAGATTCATGAACAAGACTCTACTAGATGTGGTTCATAAGACATCATCCTAGAATCTTTCTAAACCTTAGGCTCTGATACCAAGTTTGTCACTACCCGAGAGCACCTCTAGTCGTAACACGACGTAATTGACCCAGAAGGGGTCGCATACAAGCCCTTAGCTTTCATCATCGCATAAAGACATAGAAAAATGAGAAAAAAATTAAAGCTTTTACAATAGAAGTCACTTCTTCATATAAGGAAAATGGGAACTAGACATTGTCTCAATAACCATCTAAATATAAGAGTACAAATAGAGACAATTCCCTTTACATCAATAAAGTTCCCAAGAATGGGAAATACAACATAGTGTAGAACATAAGAAGTAAACTAGAAACTTTAATCAATAGCAACTCATCCTCGAACTTGAGGACTCACCAAGCCTAGGGAATAGTCGACCCAAGCTTCACCTTCAAGGAAGTAGTAAGTATCAACGACCGGAACCTACACTCATAGTAAAGTAGAAAATATGGGTTAGCACAATTAATTGTACTAAGTATAGAAACCATGCACAGAATCCTTAAAACATGCATAAAAGGAAAATTTTGTTGAAATCATGCTTTTAGTCAAGTTTAGGAACCATTATGCACATTCATAAAGAAACATAATTTAATTCAACATATGAGCAACCCAAAGCCACACAAGTGCAATACAAAGGCAAGATCCCATAATCCTACCAAATTCTAAGTATTACTTTTAGGCTACCAACAATATACATAAAAGTGATGACATTCACATTCATAGAATTCATTCATACCTTCGATGCATTATTCATAAATCACAATAATATAAGAGAATCTTACCAAAACTCCTCTTAGAGTACACTTGTGCAATGTACAAGTGAAGTCCCATACCCCCAGTCACACTAAGGAATACCCCTTAAGAAGTCATAGTTAAAGTCTATGTCCTTACCATAGTTCATTCATTATCATTTAGGAAAAGATTGTGTTAACCGACATAGACCATGTGAACTACATGGAATCCGGTGTTCTACCCCCACACCAAAAAGAGGTGTTCTACTTGCCTAAGGTAGAACGTACATTCTAGATATTTAGGTGGATCCACTAGATAAGACCTATGTGGGCACATAGTTATGGGACAAGGATATTGCTACTAGAAACCCGAACTTGCTAAACGTAGAAGGTTTCCATCTCATGAGATATCCTACATTGGGAAGCCGGACTTGCTAAACGTAAATGCCCCCATCTCACTTTCCTGTCCTCTCGGTGCTAAGCATTATTCCCTTTAAAAGTCACCATTAGCCTTTACTTAGGTTCAGTAGTCATAGTTTAGTGTATTAGACCCTCATGTCAATATATATCATAATAGCTCATAGGTTCCATAAGTGAGAATGTTCCTTTAACATTTAGAAACGTTAGCATGTGAGTAAAACCTTTCACATTGCAATAGTAGTGTGATCATGGGAAGGTCCATTCAAGCAACATCACATGTTTACCATAAAGATACATCCATACATGCTTTATACATAATCAAGTGTAGAGGGTACAAGGGAGATAGATCTTACATCAATACCCCCACACTAGATATAGGATCATTCATATCCAAGTAATTCACATAGTCATGTAGAAACAACATCAACATACACCAACCCTAGCTAATTTTACTTTTAGGCCATGAACCAATATCAACCCTAACATTATAGAATTACCACAATAGATTGAGATATTACATGATTACACCATCAATTAAACATAAACATAATCAATAACGAACCTCCATGGCTAATCAAGTCACATCCTAGTTCACAATTTAGGAAGAAAGGGAAACCATGGGTCCAAGAGAGATCTTCATCAAAAACTATCAATACTACAACAATATAACCATAAACCATCATAATTAACCACAATAGATCATGATTGAACAATAGAAATCGTTTAAGAAGAAGATCCATGCTTATAGTAAAACCCTAGATTTTGGAAGTCTTAAAAACACACTTTGAAGGGACTTCTTAGGGGATAATGTAACGACCCGGAAAATGATAGAGTGAAACTAGAGCCTCACATGTGAGGTTGGAGTCGAGAACTTAATGAAATAGTTATAATTGAATTTGACCCAAAAAGTTCTTAAAATGTGCTTCGGAAGTTACCGAAAACTTGTTTAGCTGTATATAAAAAGATCCGTTTCGTTTTTCGAAAATCCAACTTCATATTCTTGTTTAGGGGGTCAAATTGAGTGGGAAATGGGTCTAACCCAAATTTTAGAGCAACCGTATCAAAATCCGAAATTTCCAAGTGAAGCCTTTTTCGAGGGTCTACTTTGGAGGGTCATATCTCCTAGCACACAAATAATTGGGTGGCCCATAACATATCAATGGAAATCCCTTTGAGTTAGCTACCTAACTCACTTCGTTTCACCTCATTCGGAGTTCGGACGAAGAAGTTATGCCCATTTTCGTAAAATCTGTCCGGCAGGAAATGCAAATTTCCAGTGACCGAAATTACTGTTCACCCGCCTCTTTTTTTTTTCTAAGTGTTGGACCAATTTTTTCCAAAGGACATATATTATTTCCTAGAAATTATAAAACCCTTTTGACCAAAATTCGTCCATTTAAATCACTCCAATTAGGAAGAAAAAAGAAACCCTCCCTCTCTCAAAAAAAAAAACTCTCTCAAAACCCCATGGAAGCTCAAGGTGAAAGATGGAGCTAGGGTGGATGGTGGCTGCTGATTTCTTCTCTAATTTCGTTTGGTTCTTGAAGAATAAGGTATGGGGACTCTTCATCTTTGATTCCTTCTTCAATCAAAGAGTCAATCCAAAAGATTTCAAAAGTTGTTCAAAAACTCAAAATCCTAATTTCGATTCTAGCATGGGTTCTTGCATTAAATGTTTTTTTTAATGAGGATTTATGTTATTATTGATGGTTTTAAGAAAGGAAATTCCATGAACCCATGTCTTTGCAAATTTCCAAAAGTTGGCTTATGAAGTGGGGTTATTGTTTATGATTGAATGATGATAGAATTATGCTTAAATTGAGTTGAATAGTTGATTTCTATTATTATCTATGTTTATCTATTGTGAATTATTGGAGAGTTGAGGAATGGTGATTGTGGCTTTGGAAAAGGGTAAGTTGGCCTAACTTCATTGTTAATGTAGAATTGATATAAAATTTTGATAGGTTGATGTGTGATCCACTTATGGTGGAGGTGTCTACTTATGGAATGTATTATGATTGAGGCCATGAAGGGCATTATATGAGTGTTATTGTAT